AAACTTGAAGCTTGAAATCAATTATTGAAAAGTTGTTTCAACTATTCAAGTATTCAATAATTGAATACTTGAATTCAAGTTTCAAGTTTGACATGTACGAAAAAAAACTTGGCAAAACCCTAGAAATTAGAAACAAAACAAAATATAAGTTTAAATTCAGATTATACTTGATTAAAAATTGTACAATTTCAAAATTTTAATATGGACTTAAAGAAATAGTCATACCCATAATTACACCCATCGAAGTGACATTCTAAATATCGATATCCTATGATAGTTTCATTTTTTTTAATGTCAATGTGACAAGATGAAGCCAAATGAAAAGAGCCCAATAAGTAGGTTTTTTTTCTTTTTCCACAGAAACTTTGATGTTACTATACTACTACAATACATTTTTCATTCTTTGATCAAAGTAACCTCATATTGAAAGCGACAACCTGGAATAAATTAAATTGTTTTTTCGCATGTTTACCGTTGAATGTATGTTCGCAATGCAAACATATTTTGCTTTAATGTTGTGCTTATTATTTTGCAATAGTTAACATCGTTCTGTTCTCTTTCAGGCATCTACAGAGAAAATTCATTCGTCTGTACTACTTTGTAATGATTTTTTTCTACTGGATTATTTTTCTTTCAATAATTGTACGAAAGCATACGAATCGACCAAATAACGCACACATTTACACATCTATTCTATGCAATATTCACAAAAACAATTTCTTCTCTTCTAGACAGCAACGAACTAATTTCTATTTGAAAGCATTCTATAAGATGGCTTCCACGGATGCGACACATAAAAAAAAAGTCGAATTGAGTCCAAATGAAATGGCTAATCTAGTATCGGCGACAGGCATGACCAAAGCGGCAATTCTTGGTTTGTTCGGTTAGTATATCAAAAAGTCTCTTAAGCTTGTCATTGAGTTGATTATTTTCTTGGAATAATAATAATAACTGTTTCTCAATTTTTATTACAATTTATTTACACATACTTTCAGAAAAAGTTTTCTTGTCTGATACGGCAATCTCTCAAAGAAGGCTTATGTTTTCTGTGATATAGTGTAAGAAATAGGACATGAAGAACAATAAGCAGCCATTTGTTTTATCAATAAATTTCTATTTGTTTTGCATATTCAATACTCAGTTGAAGAATACTAAATTTCACATCAATAATTGTGCTATGGGAATCTGAATTAGTTCAATTTTTTTTCATGAGTATAAGACAAAATTATATCAAATTCAAGTAAAACGAAATTCTGATAGTAATGAATTCAGATTAGACTTCAATTATACTATTTCGCAAATAATCGAATCCTTTTCCTGTTCTTCGGTATTTGATGTAGAATACATCAATGAATCACTGTGCATGATCAAAGAAAAGTAAGAAAACATTTTGTCATTAATTTCATTACTCAAGAAGAGGCTGCCCATGTAAAAGGAGATGTCTTGTTTATCCTTACAACTGAAGAATTTTTTTATGCATATTAATCTGCTGGGAAACTATTTTTACTGAAGTCTTCATAATTGCGAAGCTTTAAATTTATGTGTATTGAAGGTCAGTACGGACTAGCCCGAGTTTCAGACTGTGAACCTTACAGTGACTTAAATTTCGTGATTGTATATTTTTCATGAGAACATAATCAAATATGATCAAGATAATTGATTAATAGCTTATAAAAATATCTTATTGAAGTTGTAATGATCACTTGGAAATTTTTCAAAATTCATCCACCGGTGATCTATCATACATGTTTCATCGAGATCTGCTATTCTAAATCATCTTGTCCAATTTGAAACAATTAAATATCTCTAGGTTCATGGTTGCTTCTAGCCTCATTTTACTGTATAAGAGTATTGACCAAATTTTCTTGCCAATTCAAGTTTCTATATTGTACCCATCTATTCAAATGCAAAAGAATCAATTTTATGACTGTTTTGTTTTTTAGCAAGTCTGTTGGGCAAATTTCCTAGTGCTGGCATCACAGAGCAAGATTTTCTTGATATGATCAATAAACAATCATCTAAAGACGGCAAGACTAATCCTGAATTAAACAAGCTTATATTCAAAATTATCGATTATGATAACTCGGGTGCGTAAGTTTACTAAATCACGTACCTCAATCAATTTTTTTCTTATAAATGAATCTGTAAAATGATCAAAATCAAAAATACAAAGTATAAGTGTTTTTTCATTTGAAATATCTCTCGTTCAATCAGTTCGATTTGAGGGTCGTAAAAAATCATCAATAACCAATGTCATATCAAGGAGTGTGAGGAATGTTTAAAACTACTCAAAATGTGTTTGTCAATCACTTCGTTAACAATAGACTCTGAATAATCACTTGAATACTGTGATAAAAGATTTTAAAAAAATTCGATTAGATCAATCTGTAGAAATATTGAATGTTAGAGTATGTTTTTCTTTGCAAGTAGTATCTGACATTATAAAGGATTTTGTTCACATGTACAAATGTATTTCACAAAATATAAAGCAAGATTTAACGAAATATCAAAACAGTTTTTCCTCAACATGAAATCCTAATTCGAGAATGTGACTAAAATCGAAATAAACTGATTGAACTTTAATTAATGCAAAACATGTTTTAATAAAAACTGGATGAAATTAATCTTTCTTTCGATCAAATTTTTTAGGCAAGATCGACTTCTATGAATACATATTGACCACGGGCTTGTTCGTCAATTTTAATTCATCATCCACGACATCATCATCGATTAAATGTCTTTTTCGATTATGTGATTCTGATCGTGATGGCTCTCTTACACATGATGAGATCGCTAACTTCTTTTCCTTTCTCATAAAGGCCGACCCAAGTGATGATGAGAAAAAAAACAAAGATATCCTAGATAAGATCATGAATATTGTGAAAAACATGTTTGCCGACAAGACACATATATCAGAGACAGAATTCACAAAAATGTGTACTGAAAATGAAGAATTTAAAGCTTTGTCTAAGATTATAAAAACATCTGCATGGATGGGACTTACATTCCTTGGTTTAAACTGCATGTGATGGCATTCTCATTCATAGTTCCAAGCAATCGAATGACTTTTTATTCGAATAATATGGTCTAATATTTATCATTAATTTTGCTTTCAATATTATCTTGTATTCATTTTTAATAGTCCAAAATAAATCCTCTTCTACTCTAAAGTGCTTCTACGTGAAAGGCTTTATGCTATTCTAATGAATGAATCTATTGATTCGATGATGTTGCATCTTATCTAACAGCTAACTTCGTACAGTCGAGTTGTGTCGATGCACATTTAGGTTCTGAGTAAACATTCCATGAATAGGACTAGCAGGACTCATACTGAGTAATAGATCACTGTAGCCATGGGATCGAGAAAATATCGAAGATCGATTTTTCTGACCTTGTTTTGAATTCTACAGAAACCTAAGAAATAAATACCATCATTGAATCAAAAAATTTTATTTTTTCGACAAAATTTGAATCTCATCAGTAGCAAAGACCCGGAATGAGTCCTGTGATAAAAACGACTATTGCATTAGCATCGAAAGATTTTCCTTGAAAACAGAATTTATCATTGAATACTCTATAAGGATGACCTCTTCATTAACAAAAACTGTATTGACATTGACATAATAAAATATTTGATTCATTCGACCGCTATGGTAACTATAATTACAAAAGGATTATGAACTATTGACTATTTGTTGTTTGGAGATTGGAACAAGATTCCTAGTCCTTTCAGCTTGCTAACTCTCGAGGCATTGTATCATCGAAAAAGTTCAACATGAACTCAATTGGCGGTGAGTAGGCATGCACCAAACCCAAACTCAAACCCAAACCGTTTGGGAGTTTGGGTTTGGGTATTGAGTTTGGGTTTGGGTTTGGGTTTGGGTATATGAGTTTGGGTTTGGGTTTGGGTTTGG